TATGAAGAGTGGAAGCGAAGTGTTGTATGAAGAGTGGCAGTGTTGTATGAAGAGTGGCAGTGTTGTATGAAGAGTGGCAGTGAAGTGTTGTATGAAAAGTGGCAGTGAAGTGTATAAAGAGTGGCAGTGAAGTGTTGCATGAAGAGTGGAAGTGAAGTGTTGTATGAAGAGTGGCAGTGTTGTATGAAGAGTGGCAGTGTTGTATGAAGAGTAGCAGTGGTGTATGAAGAGTGGCAGTGAAGTGTTGTATGAAAAGTGGCAGTGAAGTGTATAAAGAGTGGCAGTGAAGTGTTGTATGGAAAGTGGAAGTGAAGTGTTGTATGAAGAGTGGCAGTGTTGTATGAAGAGTGGCAGTGTTGTATGAAGAGTGGCAGTGAAGTGTTGTATGAAAAGTGGCAGTGAAGTGTATAAAGAGTGGCAGTGAAGTGTTGTATGAAGAGTGGCAGTGGTGTATGAAGAGTGGCAGTGAAGTGTTGTATGAAGAGTGGCAGTGAAGTGTTGTATGAAGAGAGGCAGTGGTGTATGAAGAGTGGCAGTGAAGTGTTGTATGAAGAGTGGCAGTGGTGTATGAAGAGTGGCAGTGAAGTGTTGTATGAAGAGTGGCAGTGAAGTGTTGTATGAAGAGTGGCAGTGAAGTGTTGTATGAAGAGTGGCAGTGAAGTGTTGTATGAAGAGTGGCAGTGAAGTGTTGTATGAAGAGTGGCAGTGAAGTGTTGTATGAAGAGTGGCAGTGAAATGTTGTATGAAGTGTGGTAGTGAAGTGCTGTATGAAGAGTGGAAGTGAAGTGTTGTATGAAGTAGTGGTAGTGAAGTGTTGTATGAAGTGTGGTAGTGAAGTGTTGTATGAGTGACAGTGACGTGTTGTATGAAGTGTGGCAGTGAAGAGTTGTATGAGTGACAGTGACATGTTGTATTAAGTGTGGCAGTGAAGTGTTGTATGATGATTGGCAGTGATGTGTTGTATGAAGTGTGGCAGTGAAGTGCTGTATGAGTGACAGTGACGTGTTGTATGAAGAGTGGCAGTGAAGTGCTGTATGAGTGACAGTGACGTGTTGTAAGAAGTGTGGCAGTGAAGTGTTGCATGAAGAGTTGCAGTGTAAATGTATGAAGAATGGCACTGATGGTGTCATCGTGTGAAGTGTAGCAGTGAAAGTATAGTTGTGGGAAGTGTGGCAGTGAAGATATTGTAGTGTCGTTGAAGTTGTCATTTTGCGAAGCGTTTAAGTGAATATCTCGAACTGGAAAGTGTGGCAGTAAAGTTGTCTGGTGTGAAGTGTTGCAGTGAAGGACTTGTGGTGGGAAGTGTTGCAGTGAAGGACTTGTGGTGGGAAGTGTTGCAGTGAAGGACTTGTGGTGGGAAGTGTTGCAGTGAAGGACTTGTGGTGGGAAGTGTTGCAGTGAAGGACTTGTGGTGGGAAGTGTTGCAGTGAAGGACTTGTGGTGGGAAGTGTTGCAGTGAAGGACTTGTGGTGGGAAGTATAGCAGTGAAGGACTTGTGGTGGGAAGTGTTGCAGTGAAGGACTTGTGGTGGGAAGTATAGCAGTGAAGGACTTGTGGTGGGAAGTGTTGCAGTGAAGGACTTGTGGTGGGAAGTATAGCAGTGAAGGACTTGTGGTGGGAAGTGTTGCAGTGAAGGACTTTGGTGGGAAGTATAGCAGTGAAGGACTTGTGGTGGGAAGTGTTGCAGTGAAGGACTTGTGGTGGAAGTATAGCAGTGAAGGACTTGTGGTGGGAAGTGTTGCAGTGAAGGACTTGTGGTGGGAAGTATAGCAGTGAAGGACTTGTGGTGGGGAAGTGTTGCAGTGAAGGACTTGTGGTGGGAAGTATAGCAGTGAAGGACTTGTGGTGGGAAGTGTGCAGTGAAGGACTTGTGGTGGGAAGTATAGCAGTGAAGGACTTGTGGTGGGAAGTGTTGCAGTGAAGGTGCCATGGTGTGAAGTGTTGCAGTGAAGGACTTGTGGTGGGAAGTGTTGCAGTGAAGGTGCCATGGTGTGAAGTGTTGCAGTGAAGGACTTGTGGTGGGAAGTATAGCAGTGAAGGACTTGTGGTGGGAAGTGTTGCAGTGAAGGTGCCATGGTGTGAAGTGTTGCAGTGAAGGACTTGTGGTGGGAAGTGTTGCAGTGAAGGTGCCATGGTGTGAAGTGTTGCAGTGAAGGACTTGTGGTGGGAAGTGTTGCAGTGAAGGTGTTGTGGTGTGAAGTATAGCAGTGAAGGTGTCGTGGTGTGAAGTGTTGGAGTTAAGGTGCCATGGTGTGAAGTGTTGCAGTGAAGGTGTTGTGGTGGGAAGTGTTGCAGTGAAGGTGTTGTGGTGTGAAGTATAACAGTGAAGGTGTCGTGGTGTGAAGTATAGCAGTGAAGGTGTTGTGGTGTGAAGCATAGCAGTGAAGGTGTTGTGGTGTGAACTATAGCAGTGAAGGTGTTGTGGTGTGAAGTATAGCAGTGAAGGTGTTGTGGTGTGAAGTATAGCAGTGAAGGTGTCGTGGTGTGAAGTATAGCAGTGAAGGTGTTGTGGTGGTGAAGTATAGCAGTGAAGGTGTCGTGGTATGAAGTGTTGCAGTGAAGGTGTCGTGGTGTGAAGTATAGCAGTGAAGGTGTCGTGGTGAGAAGTATAACAGTGAAGGTGTCGTGGTGTGAAGTATAGCAGTGAAGGCGTCGTGGTGAGAAGTGTTGCAGTGAAGGTGTCGTGGTGTGAAGTATAGCAGTGAAGGTGTCGTGCTGGGAAGTATAGCAGTGAAGGTGTCGTGGTGTGAAGTATAGCAGTGAAGGCGTCGTGGTGTGAAATATAGCAGTGAAGGTGTTGTGGTGTGAAGGATAGCAGTGAAGGTGTTGTGGTGGGAAGTATAGCAGTGAACGTGTTGTGGTGTTAAGTACAGCAGTGAAGGTGTTGTGGTGTTAAGTATAGCAGTGAAGGTGTTGTGGTGTTAAGTATAGCAGTGAAGGTGTCGTGGTGAGAAGTGTTGCAGTGAAGGTGTCGTGGTATAAAGTGTTGCAGTGAAGGTGTCGTGGTGTGAAGTGTTTCAGTGAAGGTGTCGTGGTATGAAGTGTTTCAGTGAAGGTGTCGTGGTATGAAGTGTTGCAGTGAAGGTGTCGTGGTATGAAGTGTTGCAGTGAAGGTGTCGTGGTATGAAGTGTTGCAGTGAAGGTGTCGTAGTGTGAAATGTTGCAGTGAAGGTGTCGTGGTATGAAGTATTGTAGTGAAGGTGTCGTGGTATGAAATGTTGCAGTGAAGGTGTCGTGGTGTGAAGTGTTGCAGTGAATTTGTTGTGGTGTGAAGTATAGCAGTGAAGGTGTCGTGGTGTGAAGTGTTGCAGTGAAGGTGTCGTGATGTAAAGTATAGCAGTGAAGGTGTCGTGGTGTGAAGTATAGCAGTGAAGGTGTCGTGGTGGGAAGTGTTGCAGTGAAAGTGTTGTGTTGTGAAGTATAGCAGTGAAGGTGTCGTGGTGTGAAGTTTTGCAGTGAAGGTGTCGTGGTGTGTAGTATAGCAGTGAAGGTGTTGTGGTGTGAAGTATAGCAGTGAAGGTGTCGTGGTGTGAAGTGTTGCAGTGAAGGTGTCGTGGTGTGTAGTATAGCAGTGAAGGTGTTGTGGTGTGAAGTATAGCAGTGAAGGTGTCGTGGTGTGAAGTATAGCAGTGAAGGTGTCGTGGTGTGAAGTGTTGCAGTGAAGGTGTCTTGGTGGGAAGTATAGCAGTGAAGATGTTGTGGTGGGAAGTATAGCAGTGAAGGTGTCTTGGTGGGAAGTATAGCAGTGAAGGTGTTGTGGTGTGAAGTGTTGCAGTGAAGGCGTCGTGGTGTGAAGTGTTGCAGTGAAGGCGTCGTGGTGTGAAGTGTTGCAGTGAAGGCGTCGTGGTGTGAAGTGTTGCAGTGAAGATGTTGTGGTGGGAAGTATAGCAGTGAAGGTGTTGTGGTGTGAAGTATAGCAGTGAAGGTGTCTTGGTGGGAAGTATAGCAGTGAAGATGTTGTGGTGGGAAGTATAGCAGTGAAGGTGTCTTGGTGGGAAGTATAGCAGTGAAGGTGTTGTGGTGTGAAGTATAGCAGTGAAGATGTCGTGGTGTGAAGTGTTGCAGTGAAGGTGTCGTGGTGTGAAGTATAGCAGTGAAGGTGTCGTGGTGTGAAGTGTTGCAGTGAAGGTGTCGTGGTGTGAACTATAGCAGTGAAGGTGTCGTGGTGTGAAATATGGCAGTGAAGGTGTTGTGGTGGGAAGTATAGCAGTGAAGATGTTGTGCTGGGAAGTATAGCAGTGAAGGTGTTGTGGTTTGAAGTATAGCAGTGAAGGTGTTTGTGTGTGAAGTATAGCAGTGAAGGTTTTGTGGTGTGAAGTATAGCAGTGAAGGTGTTGTGGTGTGAAGTATAGCAGTGAAGGTGTTGTGGTGTGAAGTATAGCAGTGAAGGTGTTGTGGTGTGAAGTATAGCAGTGAAGGTGTTGTGGTGTGAAGTATAGCAGTGAAGGTGTCGTGGTGTGATGTATAGCAGTGAAGGTGTCGTGGTGTGAAGTTTTGCAGTGAAGGTGTCGTGGTATAAAGTGTTGCAGTGAAGGTTTCGTGGTATAAAGTGTTGCAGTGAAGGTGTCGTTGTGTGAGGTGTTGCAGTGTTGTTGTGTGAGGTGTGTCAAAGTAGTCTCGTGGTTAAGGCGTTGCAGTTAAGGTTTCGTATTGTGGATATAGCAGTGAAAGTGCCGTGAAGATTTGAGGCAAAGTGTCATAAATAGTGTCACTGTAAGTATTCTTAAAAGTAGCAGAATATAAACAATGAAAAGTGTCAGTAGGTGTGGTAAAAAAGTTTGAGTGTACGTGTTGAATGTTCTGGTGTTTTCGTGTACAGCAACTGTCTGTTTTTTCTCTCTGTAAATGTAGCTAAAAAAATATTTTAATGCTAATGGAATGACATTATGTAAATATAGTTAAGTTTGTTCCTATTAATACATATTCTGTTTTGTTTTAAAGTTATATTTTCGATTGTTACTTTTTATAGTATACTCTATGCCTCATGATTTTTTTTTCAGAATATCAGTTCTGAACCTGAAGGAACGTGATGGTGGTTATGTACAGAACTCTAAGTCCCCTGGAATGCCCATCCATTCATTCACACAGGAACAACTTAACCAAGGGGTTATTTCGTACGTCCACCGAGGTGAACACAACACCAAGATAGCTCTCAAGGTCTCAGACGGTATCGAAACCGGAGAGCCAACCATACTGAGGGTGGCAGCTTTCGACCTGCAAGTATACTTAGTAAACAACACAGGACTGAGTATCATTCATGGCAGCTGGGCTCTGATCACCTCAATGAACCTTTCTTATACCACCAATGCTCCTGAACAAGATCTGGAAATTCAGTTTGATATCACGGGTTTACCTCGTTATGGCGTCGTCCAAAGGTTGCGTAGCAACGATCGCTGGCAAAATGTGAACCAGTTCAGTAGTCGACAATTGGAGAAGGACAAGATCCGCTATAAACATATCTCCAAAGAACCTAATGAAGACGAATTTAAATTCAAAATATCTGCTGGTCAACACATGTTTCCAACAGAGTACACATTCGGTATTTCTTTCGTTTCTGTCACAGTTGATGTTATAAGAAATGCTGAACTACTTATTGACAGAATCCAGGAGAGTTTTATCTCTGAAGGTTTTCTTCAGAGTGAAACTAAACCAGATCCAACCCCTGGAAAAGATATTATATACCAGATTATATCTCCTCCTTTATATGGTTCGATCTTCTTAAGTTCCGGAGACCTAACGCAGCATAAGCAATTAGACAAAGGTTCAATATTTAGCCAAGAAGACATTGCAAAAGGCAGAATCAAATACAAACTTCATCGCAAAAGTTACTCGACTCTTCGTGATTCCTTTCAGTTTCAAGTTTCTAGCAACGGCCACTCCAGTGATGTTCATACCTTCAGTATAAGACACAACCCTCCACCAGTAGATGCAAACATAATAGTAGAACATTTAGATGTTCAGGAGGGCTCCAGAGAGAAAATTACCGACAAATATTTAAATATAGAAGTCCGAGGTATAAACAATATTATTTTTAACGTTACGTCTTGCCCTAGGCATGGCTCTATCAACATCATAGATGAATCGATAATCCTTCCAGATAGAATAAACACTACCTTCTTTACATCACAGGAGATAAAATCAGGATCAGTGTTTTATCAACATGATAATTCAGAAACGACAAAAGATCGCTTTCATTTTGTTGCTTTGGCAGAAGATCCTGAAGTGGATTTTCAGTATGTGGGAATTATGCACTTTCAGATCATCATGATTAACGATAATTATCCAATCAGAATAATGGAGAAGGTCCTCAATGTCGTTACTGAAAGTGAAAGAATCGTTACTTCCAATGATTTACTTTATATTGACCCTGACCTAGATACTCCGTCATCGCAAATTCAATATACCAGACAAAAAATCCCCAATGGAGATTTTTTCCATGTGGAAGACAGATTTGAGCCTTTGTATTTGTTCACTCAGGAAGATATTGACCGAAGGCACATTGTTTTCCGCCACCGCGGTCCGTCTTATGGCAAAGCTGTGATCACTGTTACTGATGGAGAGCTGTCTTCTATGGGTATCTTGGAAATTGTTGCCTCTGAGCCATTCATCGAAATCGTCAACAATAGCGGCATCATTGTGCCAAGAGGCCAAGAGGTCGTTATTTCTAACTACAATCTGAGTGTGGAGACAAATATGAATGCCTGGGGATCAGCTATCGTGTTCCATGTTACCAGTGAGCCTAGATTCGGCCGTTTGGTGATATCTGGCCAATCCGCCGCCAGTCATCAGTTCACAGAGGCTGACCTCCAGAATGGAAACCTTAAGTATGTTAGCAAAGGAGAGCCTAGTTTCAAGGATGAATTCCGCTTTCAGACAAGAATTGGAGACACCACGACAGACGGCATCTTCGAAGTGAAGGTGAGTACCTGCTTAATGTTGGAAATTAGGAAAGCAGTTTTTGTTTTTAAACGTTTTGGTATTAATTTGAGTCTAATTTAGAAATCATCATCATTTCAACTAGCAGTAATTATGTACTGGACTCCTCAGGTCTGGATAAAAAATATTCATTATATTGAAATATTTTTCATTGTATCCTGAAAAACCCGGCTCTCAGATGTTTATTATTTATATCTTAACAATAAATGTATATTCAATCTTGATAACAAAAAAAGGCACAATACCGTGACTGGAACGATACACAAATAACCCGCACATAGAAGAGAGGAGCTTACGACGACGTTTCGGTCCGACTTAGACCATTTACAAAGTCGGACCGAAACGTCGTCGTAAGCTCCTCTCTTCTATGTGCGGGTTATTTGTGTTTCAATCTTGATAAATAAATATTTATGATGAAGTGGAAAGTTCAGGGATCAAGGCTCAAGTTGTAAGGTAAATCACATTTATTAGCAAACAGTGGAGTGCAAACTCCATGACTAAACTTCCTGATTACAAAGTGAACTTTACTCTGGTCAGTTGAAAACTGATGCAAATGAAGCACTTTTGAAGAGTTGATCCACCCTGGGAAGGTAGATCATTGCAGATAAAAGAGGTGAACCGTTTTGGGTAGACTGAACGCAATGTAAATGAAGCAAGTCTCTCCTACCTACCTAGAGCCTACCTAGAGTCTCTTCTGAGAATCAACACCCCCGCGGCCCAGTCCATGACCAGACCTCACGGTAGATCATGGCCTGATCAACCAAACTGTTTCTGCTAGCCACACACCTCAGTTGATGAAGAACAGACTTTAGACACCTGTCCAGTTCTTTCTTGAAGATAACTAGGATTGTATTATGAGAAGCTGTCTTGGGCTCATTACACACGTTGTGTTGTCTGTCAGTGTACTCACAGCACCTCTACTTTTCATTGGAGATATATTGCAATATATGTGCCTTTTGCTTTTGCAGGGGTAATTTGTGTGTGCAGATTTAGAACCAGTCCCTCTAGGATTTTCCAGGTGTAAATTATGATATATCTTTCTCGCCTATGTTCCAAGAATTCTAGGTCAGAATACTTCAGATATTCGCAGTAATTAGGGTGCGTGACTAAACTTGTATGTGCACTGAATATTTTCCGTACAGTATTATGCTTCCTAATTTTCCCTGCCTTGAAAGGGGCTATTATTATACAGCAGTATTCTAGTCTAGAGTGAACATGTGACTTAAAGAGGACCATCATTAGCATGGCATACTTTGCTTTGTGGATTCTCCTTTTCCATTCTATCATTTTCCTCGTGGTAATGGCACTGTTGCGATCCTTGAAGGTGAGAACCTACAATATAACTAATTAGTCCTTCGTTTTGTTTCTCTATTGTGTGGTTCTAAATTGTATTAAACTCCGTTCTAACTCTTATTTCCTCAAGTTTTCCATAAAAGAGTAACAGAAATTTGTCATCGTTGAACATCATAATGTTTTTTGAGGCACGCAAGAAGACTAGGTTCGTATCTGTTACGAGATTTACAGAGCCCTCAGTGGGTGCCACTCTCACGCAAATTCTAGTATAGTCTGCAAAGGGTGATATGATTTACGTCTGTATGTCAGATATTAGAATGAGGAAATGGATGGGGGCTAGTTCTATGTCTTGGGGAACAGAGTTTTTCACTGAGTTAGCCTCTGACGTAACTCTGGTTACTAAATTAAAAATGTATCTACTCACCAATTGCACGCATTTTGTGCTCTGTTACGCCATGATCGCCCTTGTCGAATGTTTTTACATAGTCTCTGTGTTCTACATCTTTCTTCTGTTTGTTCTCCAGAGCATTCAAGAACATGTCATAGGGGTCCAGTAGATGCGAGAGGCAGGAAAGACCTGCTCGAAACCCATGCTTCTCTGTATTATGCAGTTGTTAGGATTTCAAGTGGTTTTAGCTTAAAACTCTTTCAAAGATTTTTATAATGAGGAACATTTTGCTGTCAGTCTATAATTTTTGGTACTGCATTCCTTACGCCTTTGTGTAGTGCAGTTATTTATATCCATTGTCATTAAGAAATGTGAGATGACCCTCATGTCTAGGGTCCCTCTCCATAGAATAGTTATGGCATGTGATATGGGTTTCTTGTTGAAGACGGAGTTACAGAGTGATCATCTGTGGAAGAGTTCAAGACAATAAGAAAAATGAACCTCTCTGGGAGGGTTGAATACCATAGACAAGCGAGTCTTTATGGGAACATTGAGCACTATGTATAAAAGAATTGAAGTAAAATAGAATGAGTGGATACCCTGGATAAGAGAAATTAACCACCATGAAAGGGTTGAACACCATAGATAAGAGAAGTGAGTTTCCACTAGATAGTTGGACTCTGTGGTTAAGCAAAGTTAGCCACAATAGTGTGGTTGAACGCCATGAAACCAAAGAATCTGAATTGATGACGGGACAGAGAGGAAAGTGAGTCATACCATACCACGGGCGGGATTGAACCCGCGGTCAGAGAGTCTCAAAACTCCAAACCGTCGCGTTAGCCACTGGACCAGCTAGCCACAATAAGTTTTTACAGACGAATCTCCAGCTAGCGTGGCCGTGACGAACTCTAGCTCAAGTCCCTCAATGCCGTCAACATGACTCACAAAATCGTAACGCGACGGTCTGGAGTTTTGAGACTCTCTGACCGCGGGTTCAATCCCGCCCGTGGTATGGTTTGTTTGCAATCGTGTCATTACGATTTCGTGAGTCAAAGTGAGTCATTGTGGTGAAAAAAAGAGAACGGAAATTAATCATACGGATCGTCACATAAACAGGAGAATCCATAAAAGAAAATTTTGACAGTCAACTTGACATGACAAATCTCAAAGAGGTGGGCTGTCTTGTCTCCACCAGATGACTATTTTTGAGCTCTAAGTAGCCAATACGAGGAACAGTTCCCCACATCTGACAGCTCTCATCGCTGTCTCTCAGAAAGTCAGTTGGATTATACAAAGGTTGTTTATGAACACAGTCGCGCTGTCAGCGATTGTGTTTGGGTAGACTGGGGTGAATATGCCGGGTAAAGAAGCAAACGTTTGTCATTCTTACACGAATAACCCGCACATAGAAGAGAGGAACTTACGACGACGTTTCGGCCCGACTTGGGCCATTTACGATGTGATGAATGGTTTTGAAAACCGACAAGTTGAAGATTGAGACATTTATGCAGCATATGGGAATCTTTATTAAGGAAACGTTTCGCCCCACAGTGGCTTCATCAGTCCAATACAAAGTAGAAATGTGTAAGGAGCGGAGGAGTTTAAGGTAATCAGTCCCTCAGCCTGGAGTCGATGTGTTCAGTTCATCAATCTTGTAGAATGTACAGCATAGGGCCGTAGAAGTGGCTCATATACTGTAGTCAAGTGAGGCGAAGCAGGAGGAGGCGGGGTCATAGCAGAACCATCCACTAGTCTTAAGTAGGTCGTCGTCCAAAGTTAGACAAGTATTGAAGAATTCTTTGTATCAAGATCCCATGATGTTTGCAGTGTCTGACATATGTAATGAATGGTTTTGAAAACCGACAAGTTGAAGTTGTGGCGAAACGTTTCCTCAGTAAAGATTCCCATATGCTGCATAAGTGTCTCAATCTTCATTTACAAAGTCACACTAACGAAAAGGAGTTAGTGTGACTTTGTAAATGGTCCAAGTCGGACCGAAACGTCGTCATAAGCTCCTCTTTTCTATGTACGGGTTATTTGTGTATTGTTCCAGTCACGGTATTGTGCCTTTTTTTCTTGTTTGTCATTCTTATTTATACTGAAGCTCGGAAATAATCAAAACTATTCGGTAAGGTTTGGCCTAAAAGCTTTTCGAAGATTTGTAAAATATTTCGGATAGCTGAATGCAATGTTACATACTCCCTCGCTACCTACCTGGAGGCCATCGGGAGTCGCTTCGGCAAATATTGTTTGGTAAGGGCCAATGGAGGTCTCACCTCTTCAGTATTAAAATGTAAACTTACCTGCAATGATAGCGGATGCTTTAAATTTTATTTTTAAATAATTATGTCCGTGTTATTACTATTATATGAGTCAGTTATATTCCCATTTATACTTAACTCTTTTCATGTAATTTCTTCGCTGACCTTTGTATTTTGTATCACAATTTTCTGGCCGCTTTCTTCATGTTTCTTCTAAATTTCTTTTGTTTAATTATTGTTACTTTTCTAATTACTTTCCTTCACTGCCCTGGTTTTGCCGGTCTATAGGTATATCCAGAAAGTTACTGGGAGCCACTGGTGATTCTCAATAACGTTGCACTGAAGGTTGAAGAAGGTTCCAGAGTGATCATCGACCAGGCGGCTCTCAAGATCATGCACCCTAACATAGCACCTTCAGACATCACATACGTTATCGTCCAGCGTCCTCAGAATGGCTACTTGGATGTTGACTTGGGACAGACCACCACATCAGAGTACGAAGATGAAGCCAGTTTGCTCAGACCTGAGGTAAATGCTTTTCTTTGCCCATGTAAATATTAGGAAACAAATAGTGTGAGTTTGTAATCGCGTCATTACGATTTCATGATCATAACAGTTTATTATAATGCACTTGAGTCAAGAAAATTAGATCAGTGAATACAGATTATTGAAGATGTCAATACTGAGGTAAGATTCGCCAGGAAACAGGTCAAATGTGTCCCTACACAGGTCTTAGTCATACGATGACGCACCAGTGCAGCTTTTGGTTATCTGACCGAAGCCTCCTCCTGAATTATGGCTCTTCCCCTTTAAAAATAAAGTATGTCTGCAGGATAAGTCTATCCACCCCACACTTTCTCTTGTCTTACTACTGTCACCTTGTCATAGAACTCCAGTAGGTTTGTGACACAGGATTTCCCATCCCTGAATTCGTTTCTTGTTAGTGTTGGTAAACTCATTCCTTTCTAGGTGCTCCACCACTCTGATAAATTTTTACATATTTTGCATACTCTTCATGTTAGTGACATTGGTCTGTAGTTTAAAGCTGCATGTGTCTCCTTTTTTTTTTTTAAATGGGACTGCATTTGCTGTCTTCCACACCTCAGGTAGTCACCTGTTTCGAAAAATGTGTTGAAGATAGTTGTTAGTGGTACACAGAGCATCTCTACCCCCTCTCTCAGGACCCATGGAGAGATGTTATCAAGCCCTATCGCCTTTGAGGTACCTAGTTCACTTAGCAGCAAACCATCGCTCTATTACTCTATTATTCTCCTGCTGTTCTGTGGTGGGTTATACATCACTGCAATTACCACCTTTGGACATCCTACTATGTTACTAATCCCTTGCTTCTCCACTGTCTCCTCTTTCCAGCTCATCAAAATCCCATCAGTTTTTGACCAGCAGTGCCACTCCACCACCCTCTCTGTTCCCTCTTCTTTCCTCAGGATCTGATATCCTGTTGCAAAGATGGCATCTGTTATATCTTCGAGCCTGGTTTCTGTGAGAGCTATGATGTCTGGTGATGCCTCTTTGACTCTTTCGTGCCACTCCTCCCACTTATTTGTTATTTCATCAGCGTTGGTGTACCATATCTTCAGTTGTGTGCGTGTGTGTGTGTGTGTGTGTGTGTGTGTGTGTGTGTGTGTGTGTGTGTGTGTGTGTGTGTGTGTGTGTGTGTGTGTGTGTGTGTGTCACACGTGAACGTGTTCAACCAGGCATACACGGTGACCGCTGGAACTTTCCCTACGAGTGTTTGTTTTTTATTGTGACAGGTGAGCGTGTTTGACCAGGCGCTCATCAATGAGGGTCGAGTCCAGTACGTAGAAGTGGGTACTAATGTGACCAACGATCACTTCGTCTTCGACGCTACCAACGGCATCTCTAGTCTCTCCCGCCTTATCTTTAAAATAGAGGTATGAATTCCAAACTGTAGTTCCGTACTAGTCTCTCTGATCTTGCACGATGTATCAGTAGTTTGCTGCTTAATATTCACTTAAACTTGAGGTTGTTGCTGCACTTCTCTTTGTCTTATATTGTCATGATTTTTTATCAATGGTAATTCTGTTAAAAATTCTGAACAATTTTGGCAATCATTTTCTTGACCTTCAGTCCCTTTTTTATATTCTTTTTCAACAGATCGAACTAAAATGAGGGAAAATTAAAATATATTTTTTAACTGACTAAGATACACTGAATTCAACGCTGACGGCTCATAACTTACCTTTATCAGTTCTATGTTTCTTGTATTTTTTATTACATTAAATACATAACTCAGTATTGTTGTTGTTGCAGGTAATACCCAAGACGATTTACCTGTCAGCTGGGAGGCTGGAGGTAGACGAGGGCTCGCAGACAATCATCACGGCATCAGTGGTGACAGTCCTGACGGAGTATTACACTGATAAAATCGCTCAGTACCTAGTGGCTGTGCAGCCGGTGGCAGGCCAGCTTGAGCTCACTTCTAGGCCTCGTGTGAGAGTTGAGGCTTTCACCCCTCTCCAGCTGCACCAGGGACTGATATTGGTGAGTAATAACGGAAGTAGCAGAAACTGAGTGAAGGAAGCTCCTGAAGTGACTGCTTAGGGAAGTGGGAGGACCTACAGCGATGACTCTTTAGGTGACAGAGCAGCTGTAGCAGAGACTGTGGGGGTGATTGAGAGCAGTTCTACATTAATTGCGTGCTTGAGTGTCAGCAACTATTGCAGTGACTGTGTGAGTGTGGGTGAGTGGCAGCATCATTAGCAGTGAGTCTGGGTGATTGGAAACAACTGTGATTGTGTGGGTGACTTACATAATGCAGCAAATGCTCTTTGGATGAGTAACAGAAACAGTGTGGCTGACAGAGTGCAGCTGAAACTGTGTGTAAATATAAGAGATTACTATAATGACTGTGTTGTTAAGTAAGAGCTGCTGGAGCAGTGACTATAAGGGTGAGTATAACCAGTGACAAAGAGATGGAGAAGAGAGGTATTCTTCATTCTTAGTTCTTTGGATGTCAAAACGCCGTGATGCATGCCACTATACTGATAATATAAATGATAATCAAGCACCTTCTTTGTTTTCGTGAATTTATATTAACATTGTGCACCAGGGGCTCTGGTGGCCTGGTGGTTAACGCTCTCGCTTCACACGGTGAGGGCCTGGGTTCGATTCCCAGCCAGAGTAGAAACATTGGACGTGTTTCTTTCCACCTGTTGTCTATGTTCCCCATCAGTAAAATGGGTACCTGGGTGTTAGTCGACTGGTGTGGGTCGCATCCTGGGACACTGACCTAAGGAGGCCTGGTCACAGACCGGGCCGCGGGGGCGTTGACCCCCGGAACTCTCTCCAGATAAACTCCAGATAAACCATACTTCTGGTAATGTTTCAGTGGAATCTCAGTGAAAAGGGTTAATTTTGTGTACATTAACGAGCTAGAGTACGATAATTTTTCCTCACAATCTACTAAATATTGAAAACTATGCATGTTTACATTATGTAAATTATACCATAGCAATTAAACAAAAACGTTTATGTTTTTGTTTTTGTTGTACTTCCTCCTTCTCGATGCTGCATTCCTGGAGACTTAGAGAGGGTTTCGGGGGTCAACGCCCCCGCGGCTCGGTCTGAGACCCAGGCCTTCCATCAGATCTCTTTAGCATTTCCATATTCTCGCTGCCGGGGTCAGTTTAAATATTACCTGACTGTCAAGATCGAGGGCAAATCCTGAATAAAGATGAAAGTAATCATAACCCTCTTGAATGCTCTTTACAGTAAAGAATGAGAGGAAATTAAGGACCCTCCTAACGAGCAGTGCATCGGCGATCGACGTGCTGATCACTGCAATGAGAACTGTGGTAGTGTTGGTCGGGGGACAGAAAATCCTGAGTAAGAGGTGGAAGCTGAATTCGGTAAACACCAGTACCTGCAGAAGGGGGATTCATTTCAGTTGTTTCCTGGTAGTGGTGGCCTGCTGAAGCTGTTGATAAAATAACAAACACTGCTGAAAGAAGAGGAGAGAAACTTTTCATATAAACAGAGGTCAGAGCAATATGACCCTTGTGGGTTTAGCGCTTAGTTTTGTTGTTGCTGCTGCTACTTCTACTACTACTACTACTGCTACAACTAATAATAATAATAATAAATCATAACAAGACATAACAAGACAAAGATCACGACAGCCAGGAAGATGACCGGGAGAGTTTTGAGAACTTTCAAAACAAGAAAAAATAATGCCGATGGTGACACTATTCAAATCGCTAGTGCTCCCTCACTTAGAATATTGCTCATTGCTGACGGTCCCGTTCAAGGCAGGAGAAATATCGGAGGTGGACTAAATAGAGATCGTTTACGGCTCACACTGAGCCAGTAAAGTACCTAAACTACTGGGAACGCCTGCAAGTCTTGAACATGTACTCATTGAAGCGGAGGAGAGAGAGGTACATGATAATATATACTTGGAAGGTACTCGAGGGCTTGGTCCCAAATCCGCACACTGCCATAACAACATACTGGAGTGAGAGATATGGGAGGAAGTGTAAAATAAACCCAGTGAGGAGCAGGGGTGCGGTGGGGACAGTAAGGGAACACTGTATCAACATCCGGGGTGCAAACTGTTCAATTTCTTACCAGAAGATATCAGAAACACGGCTGAAACAAGTGTAGAAGCCTTCAAGAGGAAACTGGACAAGTATCTTCACCAAGTGCCAGATCAACCAGGCTGTGATGGAAATGTGGGGCAGCGGGCCTCCAGCAGCAACAGCCTGGTTGACCAGGAAAGCACCAGCCGAGTCTGGCCTATGGCCGGGCTCAGAGAGTAGATAAACTCTCGAATCTCCTCAAAAGTATATCAAAGGTATAAAGGTATGAACAGAGGGTTAAGGAAAAGTTCGGTATCAAAGAGAACTCATGAACAAAATTAAGGAAAATGGGAACAGTAATGTGCAGGCAACCAGGTTTAACGTTAGACGCCTGACTTCAACCATACGGGGCTCTGGTGGCCTGGTGGTTAACGCTCTCGCTTCACAAGGTGAGGGCCTGGGTTCGATTCCCAGCCAGAGTAGAAACATTGGACGTGTTTCTTTCCACCTGTTGTCTATGTTCCCCATCAGTAAAATGGGTACCTGGGTGTTAGTCGACTGGTGTGGGTCGCATCCTGGGACACTGACCTAAGGAGGCCTGGTCACAGACCGGGCCGCGGGGGCGTTGACCCCCGGAACTCTCTCCAGATACGTTAATGTATTAAAAGGCCACAACCATGCTGAGATGTCTGAGCATCTCTGGTCGGCATAGTTGTACTTCCAATTATGCATCGCTGTACTTTCAATCCTATATATCAAAACTACTTCGAGGATGATGAATAGATAACATCGCCTCTCCACTGCTTCTGTTGCCTCCTGTGAATCAGAGTGAACAAGCCTGTTGTGTTTGTGAAATCTTTCAGAATATAGATAGATATATGTCTTACTTGTATATTTGTCGGTATTGTAAACCGTAATGACATGATTGCAAACAAGCCATACCACGAGCGGGGTTAGAACCCGCGATCAGAGAGTCATAAATCCCCAGACCGACGCGTTAGCCCAATGGCTAACGCGTCGGTCTGGAGTTTTATGACTGGTTGCGGGTTCTAACCCCACCCGTGGTATGGTTTGTAAACCACTGTTATACTGACTTTGCAAAAGCAGCAATTTTTTTTTCTTTGGCTCCTGCAAAATGCCAGCAATTGCTTTCAAACTTTTTTTGAAATAATAGCAAATCTCACCTTGACTTTGCAGAGGATTACCTAGCTGTTGTTAAATTCATACCATTGATGAGGCTTAAGGAACTTTGTAGCCAAGAAGACTACACAACAGAAAAGTAGACACAAATGCAGTATAATGCAGTGATTATAAATTAGACACATGTGCATCACTGTTTGGCGACGCGATTCCACAATAAAGACACCCAAGTGTTGCACATGTGTGTAATTTATCAACCTGTCGGTTCTATGAATTATTTATCTACAATGTAATGCGATCCTTTATTGCAACATTTCGCTCACATAGTGGGCTTTATCAAGACACAAACAGATCTACCTGAGCAATATGCTCCGCATATTATATATATATATATATATATATATATATATATATATAGTGTGTGTGTGTGTGTGTGTGTGTGTGTGTGTGTGTGTGTGTGTGTGTGTGTGTGTGTGTGTGTGTGAATGTATAGGAGCCTTTGAACCAAGTGAGAGAGTAATTGTGGTAGGGGACCTGAATGCTAAAGTAGGAGAAACTTTTAGAGAGGGTGTGGTAGGTAAGTTTGGGGTGCCAGGTGTAAATGATAATGGGAGCCCTTTGATTGAACTTTGTATAGAAAGGAGTTTAGTTATAGGTAATACATATTTTAAGAAAAAGAGGATAAATAAGTATACAAGATATGATGTAGGGCGAAATGACAGTAGTTTGTTGGATTATGTATTGGTAAATAAAAGACTGTTGAGCAGACTTCAGGATGTACATGTTTATAGAGGGGCCACAGATATATCAGATCACTTTCTAGTTGTAGCTACACTGAGAGTAAAAGGTAGATGGGATACAAGGAGAATAGAAGCATCAGGGAAGAGAGAGGTGAAGGTTTATGAACTAAAAGAGTAGGCAGTTAGGGTAAGATATAAACAGCTATTGGAGGATAGATGGGCTAATGAGAGCATAGGCAATGGAGTCGAAGAGGTATGGGGTAGGTTTAAAAATGTAGTGTTGGAGTGTTCAGCAGAAGTTTGTGGTTACAGGAAAGTGGGTGCGGGAGGGAAGAGGAGCGATTGGTGGAATGATGATGTAAAGAGAGTAGTAAGGGAGAAAAAGTAAGCATATGAGAAGTTTTTACAAAGCAGAAGTGATGGAAGGAGGGAAGAGTGTATGGAGAAAAAGAGAGAGGTTAAGAGAGTGGTGAAGCAATGTAAAAAGAGAGCAAATGAGAGTGGGTGAGATGTTATCAACAAATTTTGTTGAAAATAAGAAAAAGTATTGGAGTGAGATTAACAAGTTAAGGAAGCCTAGAGAACAAATGGATTTGTCAGTTAAAAATAGGAGAGGAGAGTTATTAAATGGAGAGTTAGAGGTATTGGAAAGATGGAAGGAATATTTTGAGGAATTGTTAAATGTTGATTAAGATAGAGAAGCTGTGATTTCGTGTATAGGGCAAGGAGGAATAACATCTTGTAGGAGTGAGGAAGAGCCAGTTGTGAGTGTGGGGGGAAGTTCGTGAGGCAGCAGGTAAAATGAAGGGGGGGTAAGGCAGCCGGGATTGATGGGATAAAGATAGAAATGTTAAAAGTAGGTGGGGATATAGTTTTGGAGTAGTTGGTGCAATTATTTAATAAATGTATGGAAGAGGGTAAGGTACCTAGGGATTGGCAGAGAGCATGCATAGTTCCTTTGTATAAAGGCAAAGGGGACAAAAGAGAGTGCAAAAATTATAAGGGGATAAGTCTGTTGAGTATACCTGGTAAAGTGTATGGTAGAGTTATTATTAAAAGAATTAAGAGTAAGAAGGAGAATAGG